AAATTACAAAAACTGCTCTCTCTATGTATTTCAAGCATCTGTTACTTTGCATCTTAAATAATCTTAAAGTTAATAAGAAAAATAATAAGAAAAGATAAGATAATAAAAAAACATGGCTGCAAAAATTAAAAAAATGTCAAGCAATCATATGCAAGCTGCTTCAGACAATAAGCAACATCCAATAATCAGAGGAACAAACAGGCAGTCAGCCCAGCACAAGAGTAGTTTATATAACATGATCACCTTTTTTTAGTCCTGTCCGTTCTTCCTGAGATTACCTAATTTAATCTAACACCACAGCATCACCCAGGCAAGATAACCTGCGCTCTAACCCACAGCATGGCTTAAGATGAAAACCAGAAAACCTGCTGGAGAAAGTCTGCGTCAGACGCACTAATGCTCCATCTGAAAGGTCCAAGGTTTTACAAACACAAAACACATTTTATTAAAAAAGACATTGAAGGAAAGAAATTTCAACCAAAAAACAATTAAAAAAATAAATCTGTGCTCATATGATAACTACCTTAAGGAAAAACAATGTCATCATTTGAGGAGTTAAACAGATTATCCATCTAATGTGAATCAGTTCAGGTTTCAAAGCTTAAATGCTAATCCTGCAGCCCTGATATAAACATACTGTTGTTTAGATCAGCCAGTAATCTGCATCCCCACCATGCTCTCTGCAAAGGGCCTTAAAACACCAGCAGAGACATAACAGGAAGAGGAACAAACTGCCTTCAAAATAAAAGAGTACAAACCATTTCAATGAATTATCTTCGCAAAGTTATAAGTAACATCTGCTGGGGAAACTTCTTAAATTACAGGACACATTTTATCATCAACAGCAACAAGATCAAATAAATGCCTCTTCAAAGTCAATATATTTAAAACTCCTGGTTGCCTTCATTACGTTGGGGATTTGTTGAGTTCTGTTCAGGTTTTAGGAAAATCTTTAAAGTGTATTTTGGGTCAAAGAAAGCATAATATATCAGTTTTTGCCACTGTAGTTCAACCTTGCCTGACCAATCCGCTCTGACCACAATGAATCATGGGAAATGGAGGACTGTTGGATTTTTTTATGGGTAAGGAAGTAGCTTTGTTCAACTTAAGAGATCTGATTTGTTTAATGGATTTTTAAGTTTACAAAAAAAAAGCTAGATTCTCACCTAAAAAAACAAACAAACAAAAACATCTGATTGGTTGGTAAGATGAGAAATGAAAACTTCCTATAGTATTTTTTTTTTAGTTCACACTCATTCAATTGCTCACTTATCCCTCCATTGTATCCATCCCTATTGATAAAATACCAAACAAAAGTGCAGTTTTACTTAATAAACAGGTTTTAAATAAAAGCAAAAAATATTTAATAATGTAAGTTTATCTTTCTGTCCAAAATGAAGCTGGAAAATGAATAAAAGTTTACATGCTTTTATTTTGAAGGACTATATCGTAAGTCGCAGTCCCACATTCTTCTAAACATCAGCCATTTTTCTACCGAGGATGATTCCAGTAATTTGGGATCAATATGGAGATAAGAAATGGAAGCAGGCCGCTGAACGAGCAAACTCTGCCCTACCAACAAACAGACTCTGTTCAAACACAACCTAACCGATTAAAATGGGATTCAAAGCGTCTCTTTAATCTAAAAATAAACAAAAACCTACAGATGGTGAACGTGTCAAACCGTTAGAACAAGTACATAAACGCCTTCAGCTACATTTAAGGTCACCTTTCTGTTACAGTGTCACATTATTTACTGTTAGGAGATATATAAACCCAAAAAAATAAATAATAATAAAATTAGGCTTAGAAACCTAAACTGCGTTATCCGCCTCTGTACCGATGATGGTTAGCGGAGCCTTTTCTCTCCCATCCGCTAGTTGTGTCTCCTCGCGCGGTTAAACAAAACAACTAAAGAAAAAAAAAACATCAGAAATAAACATTTATGTCCTTACCTTGTACGAACTGAGCTGCAACGGTTCAGTTTTCGATAGAAACCAAAGCTGAGACCCAGCTGATGGGATGCTAGGAATGTTGTTTTCCGTCGGAGAGACAGAGAGACTGCAGGCAGGGAGGATGGGAGGGACCCGGAGCCTCACGTCAGCCTGAGCTCACACTGTTTGGCCCCTGACCGGATTATCTAACCCTGGCTGGGACAGGACCACAGTCAGTAGAGATGTCACCTCTACCAGGGACAAGATCACCTTCTAAAATGATTATTGAGACAGAAATAAACGCTCTTTATTGTTTCTGTAGTTGTTTTCAAAACAACAGATGATCATTGTCTTCATTGCTTTTACATTTTTTTTTACAAATAAAATCAGAGAAGTGTACGGTAATGTGTCTTTGTTCCTTCAACACAATTCAGTATTCTGGAGAACATTCTGGCGACTGGTACTGCTATACAGAGGCGTAGCCAGAATTTCTTTTATATAAGGGTGGCCAGGCAATAACCGATGGAAGACGACTAGGACCACTGAAAAAAAAAAAAAGTTAACTGATTTTTAAATATTATTTCAGTTTAATATGGGAAAAAATCTGACTATAATCTCAGTGAATGATATAGACGGATAGAATACAAAGTTATGTATTAGCAGTGTTGTCAAAAGTACAGACATTTGTTACTTAAGTAGAAGTATAGATACTGCAGTTTAAAAACACTCTGGTAAAAGTTGAAGTATCAACTCTACCTCTTTACTCAAGTAAAAGTGAAAAAGTATGTGCTCCAAAAACTACTTAAAGTATAAAAGTATAAAGTAACCTTTAAGAAAAAGGCCAGATAACACTATATGAATTGAAAGCACAATTTTTCCACTATTTCAAAAAATTCTTTGAGATAGGGTCAAGGATGAGGGAGGTCTTGTTGGTCTCCGTCTCCATCTCCCGATATGCTCTCGCTGTGTCCGACCTTTCAGACATTTAGACATGTTTTTCTGAATCCAGCATTGTAGCATGGCATAGACAATTCACGTTTACAGTTTGAAGAACACCTGCTTGCTTCTGATGATTTCCTTTAATTAACCAATGAGTGTTTGCGTTATATGACTCATCCAATTACACTAGTTTTCACTAGATGTGGATGGCACCAATGATCTGCATTGGATGGCGCACATGACGTGAAATAAATTTAGAAACATAAAACCATGGGTAACTAATAAAAAATCAGTGGGGTCCGAATAAAGAAAATCAACCAATAAATGTCAGGAGACATTTTTAATGATCTGTTACTTTAAACAGAATTTAACACTGAAATAAAATGATGTATTTATGCATCCATGTTACATTGAATTAAAAAAAAAAAAATTAAAAAATTAAAATAGAAATTGCCAAATATTGCATCCTGTTCTATCTGAGAGGAGTTTACACTTGTATGACTGTATTCCTGTATATCCATCACTTTTAAAAGACAAGATTCAGCAAATGCAAATTCTGCCTGTAAAACAATGACAGTGTAATTGTTGCTGTACGATCCGAAGCCTCATTTGGAGCTTTTAAACAGGCTTTTGTAAAACTTTGATAATTTGCTGCTGTAATATTATAGATTTTTTAGAATAAAAAGCTAGCAGATGTGCATAATCAAAAAATAACAGAAACACAATTATAGAGCATTCAGTATTATAAGAAAGCCCACACTGTTTCTGAATAAATACATTATTTTATGAGTTCTGTTCCGTTTTTGTTTCTTTCCTTGTAAGTCTGAAATGTCCCATGCTCCTGAATGCACCATAGCTGTCTGACGCTCGCGAATGCATCACACTGGTCTGTGTAGATGCGCGTTTGATTTTCAGCTGAAGTCAAGACAAAGCTTTGCAGTTTTAAAACCCACGTTGGCTAATCACTGTTTATTGTTGTGTGTGAATGACAAGATATATATATATATATATATATATATATATATATATATATATATATATATATATATATATATATATATATATATATATATATATATATATATATATATATATATATATATATATATGATTTTCCAGAAATCATGTTTTAATACATAGAGGTTTAAATCCAGTTAGGCAGTTTCAAAGACAATCCCGTTTAGTATTTAGGGTTTTCCTCTAAGGAAATCTAGGCAATTGCAGCACTCACTCATTTTGCAACAGCCCTTCATACTGGGTGGGCATGTGATGAGGAAGAAACATCAAGTAGGACTGATTTACACTGAGAGGAGCATGCAGCAGTCAATATATCTGGATTTTACACCAGGCAACCATAGATGCACAAAGAGTTTGACAACTTGACAGAAAGGTAAGAAAAGAAGCACCTTCAGTCAAACACTGGCCTTAAGGACAAAATGCAAGAAGGTAAAAAGTGGCAGCAAAGTGAAAAGTTAATTTTCTCCATCCTATTTCAGAAGGCAGCTTGAGGCAGTCATTTTCTCCTCCTTAATTGCATCAAAATGTAAATGCTGATCATTTAAAAATACTACAGGAGGCAGAAATAGTTCTAAAATGTCTAATTATTAAAGTTGTTTAAGATTTAAGCAGGCGGGTTGTCATAGCAACCAATGCACCTTTTTTGTAAAACCAGGATGTACAGCATTATCGTAAAAACAGCCTAAAGGCTTCTGGTAACTATAAAGGATGATCATACAGTGCACATCTGTGCACACTTATTTTAAATGAGAAATTTCTTTGCCCAACAAGCTCCTTTTCTGTTATATCAAATTAGCTCCACCTATTGGCCATTCTTTCAAATTACATCCACAAAACAGGGTATTTTAGAATCATAACTGCGCATCAATCAGTCAAAAAATGAGTTTATTGTTAGATTTTTGCTGTTATCCACATTTGATGATAAACTGTGATGCACAATAAAACCGATTAGACTAGAGCATGCAACAGCAGCAAAAGCCAAATATCTATAGCATTCTGTTTGGCTATGTCACCTGCTTCAAATTGATCAATTAAAAGCGAGTGCTCTGATTGGTTGTCTAAAAAATTAAAATGAGTTGACGACACATCTTCTGGTATGGCAGTTCAGAAGGCAAGAAGGGTTTGTGTGACTGCAGTAGCGTGCTGTCATTGGTGATGAGGCTGCTTTTATGGTATTTTATATTCTTTTCTTTATGTTGTCTGAATGAACTGAATATATATCTAAAATATCTTGTTTTCTAGTGTTGTGCTGATATGGCTGCTTTTTGGAGCGCTAGAAGCAAGTATAAGAAGTAAGACAAGTAATAATACAAATTCAGAAAACTGCATATTCTCCTCAATTATGAATTTAAATTTTCTTTTTTGGACAGCTTCCGCTTATGGATTTGAAAATTCTGATGCCAGGAGGCCTGAGCTTCATTCTGAGGCTGTGTCCAATGTACTACACTACCAGCCGGCCCCCAGATCCCAGCCCCACATGGTGGGTCACTATCAGCCAGCCCCCAGGTCCCGGCCCGACCACGTGGACAGCTTCCAGCCGGCACCCAGGTCCCAGCCCAATCAGGTTGGTCATTACCGGCCGGCCCCCAGGTCCCGGCCTGACCATGTGGGCAGCTACCAGCCGGCCCCTAGGTCCCAGCCCAATAAGGTTGGTCACTACCGGCCGTCCCCCAGGTCCTGGCCCGACCATGTGGGTGGCTACCAGCCAGCCCCCAGGTCCCAACTCAAGCAGGTGAGCAGCTACCAGGCGGCCCCCAGGTCCCGGCCCGACCACGTGGATAGCTACCAGCCGGCACCCAGGTCCCAGCCCAATCAGGTTGGTCACTACCGGCCGTCCCCCAGGTCCCGGCCCGACCATCTGGGTGGCTACAAGCCAGCCCCCAGGTCCCAACTCAAGCAGGTGAGCAGCTACCAGCCGGCCCCCAGGTCCCGGCCCGACCATCTGGGTGGCTACCAGCCAGCCCCCAGGTCCCAACTCAAGCAGGTGAGCAGCTACCAGCCGGCCCCCAGGTCCCGGCCCGACCATGTGGGCAGCTACCAGCCGGCCCCCAGGTCCCAGCCCAGTCAGGTTGGTCATTACCAGCCGTCCCCCAGGTCCCAGCCCAGTCAGGTGGGTCACTACCGGCCGTCCCCCAGGTCCCAGCCCAATCAGGTGGGTCACTACCAGCCAGTCCCCAGGTCCCAGCCCAATCCGGTTGGTCACTACCAGCCGGCCCCCAGGTCCCGGCTCGACCACAAGGGCAGCTACCAGCCAGACCTCAGGTCTCAGACCCAAAATGTGGGTCGCTACCAGCAGATCAGAAACCTACCAACTTTAATCAGGTCAATGCATCCTGGATACCAGTTCAGCGAGAAAAGCCCTTCTTTCATTCCTAAGGGTAAATTTGGCCCTTAAATAATTGCATTGGCTAAAAGGAGGTGTGTACAGTATTTTTTACATTCAAACATTATAGTGCACTCTGGATCACAACTAACAGATTTTGTCTTTACAGACAAAGAAGAATTCCAGAAAATTCTTCTTGACAAGCAACACCAAACCCAGACATTTTGGAAAATAAAAGCTAATACATTAATTTACAGAAGCTTCATTTTTTTTAAAGCTTTTCTGATACTGATTAAAGGCACTGTTTAGAAATAACTTGGATTCAAGGATCTGTTTTTATGGAGGAATTCTAATGAGTCAAGATCCAAGATTGATCCCATTGGTTATTGAATGCCTCGGTCATGGAAGTTTCCCGGGGGATAATCATCCATAACTACACCTCTGGATGTGAAGTTTCAGACTTGTAGGCACAGATGCAGAGCTTTTATTGGCACTGTTGTCACCAATTCTATTCCAATACATTTTCTCCAAAAAGCCTGAAATTAAAATTTAACTCTAATGAAATAGACTTTCAGCTAAATTAATTTAACCTTTTGACAGACTGCACTCTACTCTTAACATATAAAGCACAGGTGACCAACAGAGGTTATCCTAAGCCAGTTTGTCTTTAGATGTCCTACTGATCCAACATGGCTAATTGCATCCAGAGAGTTGTGCAGAACGTCAATGGAGTTAATAAAGCTGTTGGCTGGAGAAATTCAAACCTCTTGAGCAGGACTAGGAAGACCTTTTATCAGCAGTAGTTGCATACAGTAGCAGCCATTCAAAATGGCCCTTCCCAGTCAAATGGGAGCCGAATGGCAGCCCACTTCCCTCAAACTCCCTGCAAAATCCTGTCCTACTTCCAGCCACTGGAGTCGCCCACTCTTGCATATCTATTTACTCTGACTCCACCCTTTCACTGAATTACAAGGTCTAACCAGGAGATTATGCTTCTCTTTAGATCTTAATGTTCACAAATCATGACGGAATATTTTAGTACAAATATTGATTAAAAAGGAATTGTAGGAGACCAGCCAAGGGCCCATCAAGGAAAGTGGGGACATTTTGAATGACTACTACTGTGTCTTAAGTGAATGTGCTGATTGAAAGCAAAACAAAAAAAGAAATTGACCGGAAGGGAAAACATTTCAAAAAATGTATTTATAAAATAAAAATAGCATACCACTATTCTAAAGGAGGACCGTAAGGCTCTGAAACTAATGCAAGAAGTATGTATGGTTTTCATTATGTAGGACTTTTGCAGGATCTTCATCTTCATTGATAATCCTGTTTCGATCAGACCCTGAAAGATAAACACTTATGACATTCTGCCTCTAGATGGCAGAATGTGACATGCTTTCTCTGAAGGTACAGTAGCAAAGTGCTGCTGTACATTTAAATTAAACCAACTTGTAATAAGTTTGTGCTTGAATATGGGTTAAATGCAATAATTCCTAAAGGAACAGCTTATAAATGGAAAGTTTGATCCACACCATACATGTTCACTTTGAGGATCCATCGTAAGTTTAACAAATACAATTTTACCTTCTGTGATGAACATTTCCATCAACTTTCAGGATTGTTTAACTCCATCTTGTGTTGAGCTGAGCTCATTAAGAACTGTAACATCTAAGGTTTGTATCTGCTCTTGTCTAGTGACATAAAGGGAATAACATGTTCAAACAGGATACCCCCATGACCCAACACTAACGGCTTGTTTCATTTTTTTTTTTTTTAGGTACAAAAGCAAGTGGGATCTCTTTACATAGCATGACCAGAGATTTAACATACAGAGACAGATGTTTTGGCATCTGTGCTTTGCTGGATCATTTCAGAGGGATTATCATGCATAGATCCCACTCAGACGGAGTCTACAAGTAGCTTTGGCTTCATGTGCTGTTATTAAACTGATGACACTACATAGCCTGGAAAAAGGTTTTAATTAACCAATTTTAGGGGAAAAAATTAAGCAAAAGAGAAGCGATGGAATAGCACTGGCTCTAGAAAAAAAAATCTAATACAGCCAAAGAATAAAGATCTTTTATTTTGGAGTTATGCTGACAAATGACATGTTAGAATAATAGTTAAACCTTCTAAAGAGATACATATTTCTTATACATATTGGCAAGTTGATCATGGCTCCTTACCATTTGTTGGACTCACAGAGGATTTGTCAGAAACTCAATCAATCCAGTTATCAAAATCAAGTTTATAGCTTACTAATGAAATTTCATTTGGAGCATAAATTGCATTTTTAGTCTTATTTCTACCTGTTGCACTACTAAAAAAGTGTGACCCCCTCTTCTAATAAAGATGGCTGTCTTTTAAAGATTGGTTTGACAAAAATCCAAATTCCAATCTGACAAAAACATTTTTACAAACCCAGCATGTGTTCTTTCAAAAGACATTTTTTCTTCTTCTTGTAAAATGTTATGGAGGTAGGTAAAATATCTATAGGTGTGCATTACTGCCACCATATGGAGCCTTTTTTTTTTCAGAACACCTGCAGATCATTAAGAACCTGTCCTCATTTGTTCCACCTGTTCTCAGTGTTCAGGATGAAGAAGCAGTTATTGACTAGTTTGCATCAAGTCAGAGAAATTCTTTGATTCCCTGCTCTATGGAAAGGAGATAAAGATACTTTGTTAAGCTTTATTGGTATTTCTAGTTGTTTTTTTTTACAGCTGTATGCAAAGCCATGGGGTAGGTTCAGTGGTAACTATTTTGTCAATTCTCTTCAGAGTTTACTACTAAACATTTTCTTGAGAAGCTCATATTTATGTTTGTATATGATCTATTTCTAGGATTGTTCTACTGCTGCTGCTGTTGACTGGAGAGCTCCAAGCAAGAATTGAATGTAAGCCTATCAATTGCACATTTAACTGTAATTCATGTTTTTTGGATTGAAAAAGTACTCATCTTGGGCAGACTAACCCTAACCCTTTTTTTTGAATGACTGACAGCTTTTCCTCATGGTTTTGATTCTGCTAAGAGAAATGAGCCTCAGGTTTATGGATACCAGCTTATGCCCCAATATCAGGATTCCACTTCCGGGTCTGAGGTTCTCAACTATCATCAACAATATCCTGATATCCATTTTGTGAATCCGGGGTCACAAATACCTCATAACCAGCCAAGGTATATTCCACAGCTTGGAGATCTTGAAATTGACCACTTTCCCCAAGTGCATGTTTACCAGCAAAATCTTCAATCCAGAGGTCCTAATATATTCCAGAGAGAGAAACTCAAGTCTGGTAATTATCAGCAAAGGTTTCAGCGCCATGCACCCAACCACTACCAAGAGCCACATCCCCAAGCTCCTAGCCTCAATGAGTATTCAGGTGTGCAGGCCAATACAAACAACCAGAAGCCACAGCCCAAGGCTCCCAAACATTATGAGCAACTGCAAACCCAGAAGCCCGCTGGGCACATTGGCAAACAGAAGCCTAAATACTCCAGGCCAAGCTACCAAGAGATGTCTTTGCTCAAGATGCCTAGCAACTACCAAGGACATGAGGCACACGGACTATACCAGAATCCTGAATTCCAGGTACAGATCTACCAAGAAAGCCCTTCACACCAAGCATCCAATGGATACCAGAGAACTCGGCCTCAGGCTCTGAGCCATTACCAGGAACCAATACCTGAACCCCAACCATCCAGACACCCACCAAGATCTCAGCTCCTGGGGGGTGATTCTCAAATGGCCGTCTACCAAAATGGAAGATGGCCAAAATCCCCTAGCCTCCGACTAAAACCTCAGGAGCCAGCATCTCAGGTGCAAGCCTATCAACAAAGATCTCAACCACATCACTTCCAAGCACCCAGGAACCAACAGACAAATAAAACGCAAGCATTTCGTCTACAAAAGAGGACTCTCCCACAAATGTCTGATAATAACCAGAGAAGTTGGCCTCTGAAACATGGCCTCCAGAAACCTCAACCCCAAGCACATAGCCACTACCACAAAGTTTTCCCACATAACCCTGGGCTCCATGGTTCAGGTTACCAGCAAATATCTCAGTTTCAGGCACCCAGTCACCAACAGAGGCTGCAGTTGCAGATGCTTGAGCAGCAGGATCAAGACTATCAAGCCAAATCTCAGTTTCAGGCACCTAGTGACCAAGAAAGACTGCAGATGCCTGGGCTCCAGGGTCAAGGCTATCAACCGAAATCTCAGTTCCAGGCTCCTGGTCACCAACCAGTACAGGAGACGCAAAGGCTTGAGCCAATGAATTTAAGGAAAATGCAATCCGAAGGTCCCAGCGACCACCAAACACCTGACCCTCAGGTACCAAGTTACCAGCAGAACCCTCAGTTCTACATGTTAAGCCACCAAGATGGAACATCCCCACAAATGTCTATGCCACAGGCCCCACACCACTACAATCAACATCAGCCACTAATATCTGAGCCATTTAAGACGGGCCACGGGCAAAATTTCCATCATAGATCTAACTACCAGCGGTTGCCTAGACCCCATGGGATAATTGGCCACCAACAATGGCCCTTAACCCAGATGTCACAGGGGTCTTCCTACCAGCAACATTTTCTTCCCCAGAGATCTCAGTCTTATAGAGATGGATACAAGCAAAACCCCTCATCACAGATGTCCATCAACCAGCAAAGGCCTCAGCCCTACAGGTCAGACAACCAGCACAATTTGCCTAAAACTCATGCACCAAATCCTCAGGCCTGGGGATAGCATCACAAATCTGGTAGTAAGGCAAATTTTTTGAACCCAGTTGAAGAACAGATGGTTTATCCAGGTAAGTGAAGCATATTTATCCTTATGACTGAGTGGATTATTGTTTTCTACAGTGTTTATTTTTTTTCCCCCTTTTAGGGTTAGTTTGATCTAAAATGTGGAAGTAAGAAGACTTGAATGCCACACAAGATTTTATTTTTCTTGGTCTATTTTTACATTTTGATCCAGGTCTCTCATGGTCAATGACAGCCAACAGCTTTACCCTTTTCATTTATTTATGGTTGGATAAAATGTTTAAGTTTATGGGGTTGTAAAACCTCAGGTTAGATGTTTGTAGGTAAAATACCAAATGCATTTTTTGTTCTTGGGGAAAAAAAATGTTTGAATAAACATTAAGCCTCCTAATGGAAATGGTATATTTTATTTTTCAGGGACTAGGCTGTATCTGTTAATACCACACTAACTTTTTGAGTTAAAACTAAAATTTGACAATAAATTGATTGTTGAAAATAATGGTGTTAGAATTCACGCTTTTTACACATTAACTGGAACTACTGTGAGAAATATTTGGATATGAGTAAAACATTTGTCAGAGGCATAGCCAGAAAATCCTAATGGGGGTGGCCAGTCAAAAACCAATGTACATTCAGGGGTGGCTGAAAGGCACCAGAACCTCAGGGTCAATCTACAGTGTTTCAAAAGGAATAAGCACAACATCCATATTCTCTAAATAAAGACAAACTATACTTTCCTGCAGCAATTTAATTCAAAATTTAGTTCTGAAAAAAAATTCTGTATCTATCATCTTTAATGTTTGTGTACTGATGTGCATAATTAACCAGTGTTTCTGTTAAGTAGTTGTCAAGTTAAAGAAGTTTGAACATTCTCCTTCAGAGTATTACTGCTGCCACCGTCTGTATTACAGGGGAAAAAATGGTAGGGGTGGCCAGTGATTGCCTAAGGGTGGCCATTTTTCCATACCATTGCCCACATGCCACCTAGACTCGCAGTGAGATCTGGCGGGGGCGCCGCTGTAAATGAAAAATGCCAGGGCTGAAAATCGTTCCCAGTCCGAGCCTGATCTACACTATTGCCACAGGAAAATAAACAAGCACAACAGCCATATTTTCAAAAATAAAGAAAAACTATACTTTCCTACAACCTTTGCTAACAAATGGATGCATATATTTAAACATCTGTGCTTTCTAGATAAAAGGTATAGTGGATACAATTCTTTCAGTTTTGAGTTTTGGGACAAACATCTCATTAACAATTATTCTGCAAAATTATATTTAGAAGAACTAATATAAATTTAATAGTTATGATTTCACTGAAGACTCCTAGATGACTTTCAGAGAAAAGTTTTTTCTTTACCCCATATAACACAAAATCTAGTTCTGAAAGAGCATGAATTATCTTAAATGTTAGTATACTGATGTGCATAATTAACCACGTTTTTGTTAAGTAATTGTTAATATATGAAAAATTTAAATGTTTTGAATATTCCACTTGAGAGTATTACTGCCACCACCGTCTGTATTAAAGGGGGAGAAAATGGTAAGGGTGGCCAAAGATTAGCTAAGGGTGGCCCTGGCCCCCCATCTAGCTCCGCCCCTGATTTCTGTATGCTTTTAAACTAGGTTACCTCCCTATTTTAACTATAAAGATTCAATATTAAAATTGTTTGGGTATTCTTAAACAATATTAAAACTTATATTTTTTTTTGTCTTTTTCCTGTTAAAATGATGTCTACCAATGCGGTGGTCAGAATACTTAAAACACCTGTCGTGATGTGTTCCTGAATCCCCACCTTTACTCCATCCTTGAACGCATCACCAGAGACGCGCCGCTCCGCTGGATTTCAGCCGGTAGTCACTCAGTCTCAGCTGGTGACCGTCGCTCCAGAAAGCCCTCGGGGCTCCGCGGATTGTCGGATACATTTTTACAGTGTTTTTGGTTGCTTTGTGTGATGGAGCGGAAAGTGAAGGACATTTGGTTGCAGTGTAAATGACTGCGGAGCAACAGGCACCTGGGTTGGAAAACTCACTGAGGGCTTTGGAGGAACTGTTGCGCACAATCCTGCTGCGATGTCCCTGCTGTGCGTCAGAGGTATGCGCTCAACCTGCAGCCACTGGCCGCCCTGCTTACACTTTACACTAAGAGGGGGAAAAAAGTTATGACGGCTTAATGCATGAAAACCTGATTTATTAATTATGCATCTTTACTCCAAAGGGATGTTATCTATATTTTATTGGGAGAATAAACTGTATTTAAGCAGAAGTACATTTAAACTATTGCCTTAATTGCTTTGCAGAAATAGTTCACTGTGGTACTACTTTATGTTGGTGCCTTATTCCTAGCAGAATCAATTAAATAACCAATGCATTTTTCTAACTAAATAGCATTTAGTTATTTCAGCATAATTATCAAACTTAACATAACCATGCTGCTGAGGGAAATCCATTAAAAACACTACCTAGGGCTAAAAATAAACCTTCAAAGAATGCAAATTGGTCTATAAATGAGTGTATGGTATAAACAATATTTTTATAAGGTAACGTGTCATTGACTAAGGATTTTGACCTGATTGTAAAATAACTCATCTTTCAATAGTGAATGGTGTAAAAAAAAAAACCTCTTGTAGGTGCAATCTACATTTCTACAAGGAGTATTTTGTTTGTATATATTTAATGTTGTATTCTAGATTATATTTATATAGCACGTTGAGAACAACTTGAATTAAAGTTAAATGCCACCTTGTGTTTGCAAACTTGGATTCTAAGTGGTCTATTTATAGTCTAACAGATGTAAACATTTGTTCTTGGTTTTAGATATTTTTTTTTTTTCGGTTATTGATGTCTAGTTTAGTTTTTGAACACTTTTAGAATTGTAATCAGTCAAGATTGACCTGCCTGAATGGGACGAGTGATACTTTTAGATTACAATGTGTTTGTCAGCCAATCAAGTCGTTATACTTCAATATCGCCACTAAAATTGGGTTAAATTGATTCACTTTATTGATTTTCATTATTTAAAAACTGTACGTTACCTAATCTCTCAAAGGTATAAATTATTGTATGTGGTAAGGGTCCACCATTCAAATGCTTGAACATGATCTGTGTTCAGTAATCCATTCCCAACACCCCCCCCCCCCCCTTTTTTTTAAGCAATGGACACTGAAGTAAAGTTTATCAATCTTAAGCTTCAAAAACTTTAATCTGTGAACTTTTTCATATTTATAGGATATTGGCTGCAAAACCTTTAGGGATATGTTTTGTTCATGAATGCTGATTTAAAAAATATATTTTTTTAATGTTTGGTCATATTTCAGTACAGATATATAGAGTGAGGGGGGGAAAGGGCTAATCTGAAACTTACCATATCTGAAAGTATGGGGATGTTTCAACATTTACATTTGTTTTTTGAAAAACTTCCATTTCCATTAGATAAATTTTTTTTAATTAAGGCATTCAAGGTTGTCTTCCTGCTTTTTAATCCATACCATGCTTATGCAGGGTTGCAGACAGAGCAGCACTAAATGAGGCGACTTGTCGGCCCCTTGCTAACCGCTGATGTGCCTTGAACCAAGACGACAGACCTGCAGTTTCTCCTGTGGAGCTTTTCAGTGGTGCGCAGTGGAAGATCGTGGCTTAACTTGGGGGAAAAAGTGCTGCTGAAAGAGTGAAAATAAACAAACTCCTTTCCAAAACCAGCATGTATATCTCCACTGATCAAACTCAAACTGGGAAGCTGGCCAGCAGCACCACATCTGGAGAATCTTGGTTCCTCTCCAGATTACTAATTGCTCTTCTGTCACTCATTGATTTTCAAACTATTGCCTGTGGGCTATCGTTTCTCACTCATCTTACTATCTTTGTGATGTGAGCTCCGCCTGAATCGTGGCTTAGAAGCACCACAGCCCAACTCTTTAGTTTCCAGTGATGAGATGTGAATGAAGTATGAGAAATGGCAGAAGTAAAGCACAGCTGGGTCCAGATAGTTGGCATTACAAAAAAGTAATTCTGTTTCTTGACTCGAAAAGAAATGAAAAAATGTGGTTCTGCTCCAATACTGATGCAGGTGAACTTGAAGCAGAGCTTTATCAGACTGTGGAGAACCTCTAGGCTCTGCATCTCTTTGCTGCAGGCATTTGACTAGCTGCTTTATGATTGGAAAATCTAGTTATTAGACTCATTCATGAGCAAAAAAAAACAAAAACAAAGATCTAGCTCCATCTTCTTTAATTCATTCCAGAGAGAAGTGGTCTGAAAAAACTAATAGGTGTAGAAAATATTTCAAGTAGTTTTAGGAAATATGCTGGTGAAGATTCTCAGTCATCCAGGTCATTGTCATTCCAAAAAAGGGTTAATAATCCACTGGACTTTGTTTCCAAGTTTGAAGACGTTTCGCTTCCCATCCAGGAAGCTAAGCTTTTCAAAGCCATAACATGGCTTTGTTTTTGGTCCACGCTAAAAAGCCTCGAACTCGATGCTATTTCTGAAAATTTTTAATTGAAAAACTTCCTGGATGGGAGGCTAAACGTCTTCAAACTTGAAAACAAAGTCGAGTGGATTTTTAACTTTTTTAGAATTGATTTAGGCAATTTTGCTACAACCAGATGAATATTTCTTTTTAATAACTCCATATTCTTTTTCTTTTTTGTGATATAAACTTGCCTACTGCACTGACCTTTGTTTTTATCCTGAATTTCCTCACTGATGGACAATAAATATTCATTCTTTCCTTTTCCATAGTATTTTAGTCTAGATATTTCCTTGTTTAGGTCAGTAAGCATTACTAAATTATTTTCTCTTCACTAAATGCCAGCTTAATGGAAGTGGCCTTTTTTAAAAAGGTTTTGTTCAACTTGCTACAAAGTCAGAAATATAGAATTGCATTGAAAGTATAGGAGACATCTGTCAATAGTGACTTTGGATGTCTACTCAAAGCCACAGACTTGTTGATTCAGAGATATCATTTTATTACCTCATTAGGTGGCATTATTAGGGTCATTGCTCTTCCAAAAAACCCAAGTTTTAACCTCCTGATTGCTTCATTCCTCGTGTCATTTAATTTGGGCAGTTCCTACAATCCCACAGCATGATGCTGCCATGGCCGAACTCAATAAAAATGGTTTTCTGAGGCTTTCAGTTCTTCAGAGTTTTTCCCTCAAAATGTAATGCTGTCTAGCTTAGCATTTCATTCAGATTTTTTTTATCAGCCTAGAGGACATGTCTCCACAGATTTTGTGCTTTTTCAAACGTATATCTTTTCTTGTTGCTTCGGCGGGTCAAAGTTCCTCATCAAATTGAGGACAGTTTGTACCAAAGTAAAGACCATCTTTCTGATCCCCACTTCCTATTTTGCTAAAAGTAAGACTTAGTGCTAAGGTTTGAACTGAGTTTAACTTATAGTAGTAATGGTTAGTTTTACTGTCATTGTCTGGGTTAAGGCTAAGAAAAGGTTGAAGGGTGTTTGTTTGCATAAGGGACGGAAAGGTGTTAAGTGGGTGGGACCTTCTTGCACATTTTCTTTTCCTATTTTTTAATTTTCTGTGATATGAATATTGTCGGATTGCTTAATTCTATCATTTAAAGTTAATATTTATAAAAGTTTTCCAAAGTGGCCATTCTTTGATTCAAAATGGCCACAATGGATAACCCAGAGATGTACCCACTGAAGAGCCTCTCCAGAAAAAAAAAGAAAATTAAAAGAAAAATTTTAGTTCCAATTTAGGTAAATACAAAATCCTAAAAATGAAAATACATTTTATTCAAAACACCCAAGGACACCACACAACATGCTCAACAATAGACGGTATTGAAAACAGGACAATCAGTAGAGGGATGCAATCTTAACTTTTCATGTGTTTTTTTAGATTTAAAGGGAATTTTAAGACATTTTAAAAGCATAATATATATATATGACCAAAATAACTTTGGTGATATATACAATTTAGGCTTCTTGTCAGAAAAGAAAACAGCTGTGATGTAATGATATATTATTTTCATACTTTATTTGCAAAGCTCTGGATTGAGTTTTTCATCTGTCGGTGTCAATTTTATTTGATATAATTTCAATATGATTTGCTGTAATATTAAAAATGCAGTTACTTTTTTTGCTAATTTAATACCTAAAGTATAATACCTGACAAAAAAAAATAAAAAATTGAAAGGGTTCTTGTGTCGCTATCAGAAACATGGCAAAGACCTAATTATGTGTCTCCACAGCCAGTGAACGGCTGATTAAAGTCGTAGGTGATGTTTCTTTTTTTTTCAGTGCAACTTTTCCTGGTTCTTCTTGTGACCCAACTCCAATAAAACTGTCTTCACACTTTCTTCACACAGGTTGTTCTCCTGTTTAAATGTTGCAAGTTACTTTCTAAAACTTGTGTCGTATGTTTAGAGATAAAGCTATGCTATAAGATAAGGAATGACCTGTTGCTTTCTAGAATTGTCCTGTTATTTCCAGAACCGCAGGTCACTTCATGGAATTTCTTGGGCACGTTCAAGGACTGGTATGTGTTTCATGACATCTAGCCTTGTAATTTCTAGAAATTGAGGTTATTTTCCAGTAATCACAGATACATTTCTGTAACTTAGAGGTTGCTTTATGGAATTTAATAACGTCCCGTAACCTAGATTTTAGGCATTTGAATTTATTGGGTTTCTTCACAGAAATCAGAAATGACTTTCAAGACCTTAAAGACGGTAAAGGAAACTGTCAGACTGGGTGTAATTAGAGCTTACTGTTTATTAGAACCCTTTTCTTGTGCAAAATGATTGCTTTCTTTATTGAAATTAACAAAATAAACTGTTAACAAACCTAAATAAACAGAACTAGCTCTTCTCTAAGTGCTCTGTTGGATAAACACTTCTGATATGTCGATGCAGATTTGTGGTTGGACTGGCATCTAAAGTTATTTTCATTTTGCAGGGAAAACACTTTAATGGTCCCAATATTCTAAAACTGCAACTTAAATGCAAAATGTATAACTTATTTATCCACACTGTTCAATGAAGTAATACTTGATATGAGTTTTTCTATTAGCAAATATATTTTAAGTGTCTTTGTATTCCAGTTAATAGTTATCTGAAAACTAAATTAGT